ATTTTCCCTAAACAAATTGATTTTTCCTAAACAACTATGTTCAGAACAACACAATGTGCATTGTCCATGTCACTAATGTGATATTCAACATATTATGTTTCACCCATGTCAAGTCAACCTCAAGATTACTATACACACGTACTATCAAATCTAGTATTTATTTCATATGCATCGTATTTGACATATGTTGTTCCTCTACCACAGTCAATCTAACTAGTCCAATTGATGACACTATTTGTCAATAGGATATTTTTAAAAATTTTGTTTGTAGTTCTCACTAAATGGTAAGATTGATGATCATACACTTTCACGTTTGTTATTTTTACAGGTCATTTATCATTGTTGATGTCGATAACACACATTAATATCAATAATGTTAAACATAATGTTTGTCAAGTTGACAAAAACAATGACGATGACTATCATATTAAAGAACCATTAATACGGTGAAATCCCACACGAAACAAATATCGTTGTCGAATAACTCATTGATGGTACATTTTTTAATTTATTAATGTTGAGCTCATACAAACAAACGAAAATGCCAAGAGGGTGAATTGGGCTTTTAAGAAGTTCGGTGGAAGCAATCGAAAATTAAAACTTTTTGCACAACGATTTAGAGTGGTTCAACTTCTAAACCAAGTCTACATCAACTATCTTAGTATCCACACTAAGGATTTCTCAAATCCACTAGATCTGCTTACCTTTGAGGACAAGGTGTAACCTTACAACAACTCACGAGGTTTATACTCCAAAACCTTGTTTACGCTCTTTCCACAAGAGGAATTACAAATAAAGCAAACAAAGAGAAAACCTCACAAGGTAAATATGTTTGCCCTAATTAAGCTCTCACCCAAATCACACTTGAGTAAAATAAATAATAAAGATCACAAGTTTGTTTACAACGAAGAATTTTACAAATTAAGCACAAAACAAAACTTTGATGTTGGTAGGTTGGTTTAATATGATTCTTGTTGACCTTGGAAAGCTTTGACCTTCAATTTATACATTCTCCATTAATTCTAGCCGTTTAGAGTCATTGAGGATCGTTATAGCCATTACCTACAACCAAAAATAGCATTTAATGCACAAGGGATCGATCTTTTTTAAAAAAAATCGACTGTTGTAACAAAGGGATCGATCCTTTAAGGGAATGGATCAATCCTTTTCCTCGAGGGATCGATCCTTTTGGTGAAGGGATCGATCCTTTTTCCTCGGGGGATCAACCCTTTTTGTAGAGGGAACGATCCCAAAATCACCGGATCCAAGGGATCAATCATTTTCCAAGGGGATCAATCCTTTGGTCAAAGGGATCAATCCTTTTGCTAGGGGATCAATCATTTGAGCCAAAAATCCTTGGAAACTTAACTTTAAAGCACAAAAACGATCAAATTTGGTTTTGAAAAGGTTTGACTGAGTTGAAAAACATTTAAAAACATATTTTTCAAGTTAATTTAGACTTTGAATTATTTTTGATAAATTCGATCAAGTCCAAAATCCAAATTTTCAATTTATTGTTATATCAAAATCTTAATTCAACAATTAATATTATATTTTTATTATAATATCACATTTTTAATTATTATAATTTTATTAATGTTATATATTTATTTTATTTCTAATTTTTTGTTTTTATATTTTAAATTTTTTTATAAAATATCTAAAAAAAATGCAGTCTTTATGAAAAGTGACTTTCATTTTTATTAAGAAAGTGGGTGATCTCTACATTATAAAAAAGAGATATCTTAAAAATTAATAAAAGAAAGACTTACTATAAAATTATTGTCCAATTTATATCTTTTTTCTCATTTAGATGTCTAAAATAGTTTTTGATAAGTCTAGATACCTAATGTTTTCAATGTTACATTTTTAAATATCTGACCCTGGATTATCATCACTGTTAAATTCATCGTTAAATGAAAATAATCATATTTATATTGTTTCATTTTTTTTTAATTTTAAAAAACCTAACCCGCATCGTCCCCTCCCCCTCCTCGGCTGTGTTCTTCTTCTTCTTGCAATTTTCCTTAACCGCCAAAAGCCAATGAGAATCAAATCGACTTTCACGACCGACCAAACAACCTACTTCCACAGTTGATCAAAGGTATTATTGCGATAAATTTTCAAAACTTCAGATACAAAAACAACGAAAAAAAAAAGGAAATTTGTTGTAATTAACCTCCTACTATTTGTACACGACCATAAGAAAACAATGAAATCATTGTTGAAAAAAGAAAAGAGTTTATGGTTTCAGTTTTTGCTAATGAGAAACCATATTTAAAAGCTGTCCATTTCCTTGAACTATCTTCCAATGATGAACAAATCCTAAAACTTATGGATTGTTCAGAGATATGAAACCCAAATTGAAACCTAGAAATTAACACTTTCTTCTTCCCTTTGGGTTGAAACAACAATCTCTTTAGAAGATATGATGATTTTGGGAGAATATTCTGTTGTAGGCTTCCCTGTTACGTTCCATGGTGATAGCTGGCAACTCAAAGAAGCTGAAGATAAACTTGTAGAACACAAGAAAATCAGAGAGGGTACAAGGAGAAGGATTAGTCTACGGGGTTTAGATGGAGGAATGTCACGGGGAATTTTCCCCCGAATGTAATATCTATGTTTAGATTGCAAGAATTATCAATGGAGTAATAAATCATTCCTAACAGTGACATTTTGTGTGTTTATTCTTGGGAATGTCATTCCCTCGTTACTTAGGTATTAATATTTTCTATGGATTTAGATTAAAATACCCTTAAAATAATTTTTTTCAAAAATATTCTTCTCCTAATCGTCAAATAAAAAAAATTCTGTGAACTATTTTAGATTTACAAAAAAAATTCATAATTAGAATTTTATATGAAGTTTAGGGGTTAAAATAAAATAAAATTCATTAAACTCGTTTATTTTTTTAAATTTTGTAAAAAGTTATATAAATTTTATGAATTTAAATTTTATAAAGAAAATATATAAATTAAAAATAATAAAATAATATATTTTATATGATCTTTTATACAAATATTTTTATTTGAATATTTAGAATTCAACTTGTTTAAAAAAACAAATATATAATAAAGATAATTTAATAAAATATACATTCTAGTAATCTTTTATTCTTTTAACCAAATATTATAATCTTATATTTTTACTAAACAAATCAAACATAACAATACAACATTTCTAAAAATATATATGTTATATTCTGACAATCTTATTTTCGGAGATAATGCTATATTCCATAACCAATCGTACCTTAAGGGTGCGTTTGGTTAACGAAATGTAAAATTACCAATGAGAATAAAAGATTACCATGGAATAGGATTACTAGGAATGTTGTATTTTGTGTTTGGTTGGTTTAGCAGGAATGTAAGATTACCGTGTTTGGTTAAAGGAATAAAAGATTATTCGAATGTATATTTGACCAAATTGTCCTTATTATATATTTGTCTTTTAACAAGTTGAAAAATATTTATATATTTTCTTTAAAAAATTAAATTCATAAAATTTATATAATTTTTTTTACAAAATTGAAAATATAAAAAAGTTTAATGAAATGGTAAAATTTTATTTTAACCCCTGAACTTCATATAAAATTTTAATTATAGATTTTTTTTGTAAATCTAAAATAGTTTAAGGATAAATTTGTAATTTAACCTTCGTAGAATTTTTATTATTCAATGACAGATTAAGGATATTTTTGAAAGAAAAAAAATTAAGGGCATTTTAGTCCAAAACGCCGGTAATCCAACAATACATAAGGAAATGGAGGTAATAACATTCCCAATAATATACCCAAAAAAATCTACTATCGATAGTGAATTTTTTGGGGTATATTACTGGGAATGTCATTACATTTCTTTCCTTAGGTATTGTTAGATTACCGACGTTTTGGACTAAAATGCCCTTAAATTTTTTTTCTTTAAAAAATATCATTATTCTGTCATTGAATAATAAAAATTATATGAAGGTTAAATTACAAATTTATCCTTAAACTATTTTAGATTTACAAAAAAAAATCTATAATTAAAATTTTATATGAAATTCAAGAGTTAAAATAAAATTTTACCCTTTCATTAAACCTTTTTATATTTTTAATTTTGTAAAACAAAATTATATAAATTTTATGAATTTATATTTTTTTTAAATAAAATATATAAATATTTTTCAACTTGTTAAAAAAACAAATATATAATAAGAACAATTTGATCAAATAAACATTCTAATAATATTTTATTCATTTAACCAAACACGATAATCTTACATTCATGTTAAACCAACCAAACACAAAATACAACATTCTCAGTAATCTTATTCCCTGCTAATCTTTTATTCTCTTATATTCCGTAAACCAAACACACCCCAAGAATTTGGTAGGCTGTGAAAGTCGGCCGTTTTACTTCATTAGCCTTTGGCCGTTTTGGAAAATTACAGGAGGAAGTGGATGCTGCGGGTTTTTTTTTATATAATATCTTTATTTTATAAAAATAAAAAATAAAAATTTTATAAATATGAAAAATATCTTTTAATAGTGAAATTTAAGGACGAAGAATACAAAATAAAATATATATATATATTTAAATTAATTGAAAAAAAATTTAAGCACATAAATAAAAATAAGATATAATTTATACACTTATTTTTATATTAAATTTAAAATAAAATATGAAATACAAAATTATTTTTTAATAGATGATATTAAAATAAAAGGGCAAATTTTAAATACTAGTAAGAAAATAATCACCAACTTCAAACATAAATAATAAATCCATGTTTTATGACTGAAAATTCTGGAACCAGGACAGCTGGCCTTCTATCATCGCTTGGTTCACTGTGCAAAGTAAACGGTTGGTGGATCACAAGAAACTAAAACAAATTAGAATATTTTATCAAACACAAATATTAAAAAAAAATCACCTATTACCTAGAACATAGAATCCTGGCAATTTGGTAAACTATTTATTTCTCATTAATATAAATCTAAAAAGTAGTATGAACCGGTAAGCACTGAAAATGGAATCAAATTCCAATCTTTTTGCACATGGCCAAGACATGAAAAACAAAAGCTAAAATGATCACTACATACATGCATACATGAATTTAATCTCTCATGTTCTTTTGGCTCTCTACCAAATGATTTCCCTACATGCATTGATTTTGATTAATTAATTAACAAGATGAAGAAGAACCCAAAGGCTGATGGCCAAAGTGAAGGCAATGTTGGCGGTGAAGACAGATGCAGCACGATTTGGATCGGTGATGCCCGTGGTTGTCCCCGACGGACCAAGCGAGGTGGTTCCGCCTCCGAACACCGGTGTCCCGGTGTTTGTCCCAGTGGTAGGGGTTGTTGAAGGGATCCCGCTGGTTGTTCCGGTTGTCGGTGTTGTTGGAGTCCCCATGGTCGGCGTTGTCGAAGGAACACCATTGGTCGGTGTTGTCGGAGTTCCGGTCGTCGGAGTTCGGTCGTCGGAGTTCGGTCGTCGGAGTAGAACTTGATCCACTACAAAATCCAGTAAAACAAACACATATTTATCAAATAACGGTTTTTTTTTCCTGAAACATCAAAGGGTTAAAATAACCATACCTGGAAGGGAAACTGCAAGAAGAAGGCACATCTGCGAGAGAGAAAAATCACACACAAAGAAAATCATGAAAAAAAACCCCCAAAATACAAATGATTCAATAAAAAAGGTTAGTTTTTTTGAAGGAGTTTACTTGGAGGAGGATTTGAACTAACAGAAGCAGTGCCAGAAAAATCACAGCTCCCTTGAGCTTGACCTTTCTTCTGGAAATAACTATTGACTGCATAATTACAGTGATCTTTCACTGTATTGGGATTAAAACAAGGACCGTTCTGATTAATCGGAGAACAATCAGCTCCTGCTCCACAAGCATAATCCAGTGCTTTCTGAAGCATTTGCTCACTCACTCCATCTTTGCACAAACAGTAGGTAGCACCTGCAACACCAAACCAAAAACAATCAACAAAAAAGAAGATTTTCTTTAGTTGAAAAACAAGATAAAAAAAAGAGAAAGAACTTACTTGAATGACCAGTGAAGGCTAAGAACACCACTAGGTAAACTAAAAGAACCATGGTTGATGCAAAGTTGGGGGAAGAATTTGAAAAAGAACAGATTTTTGAAGATATATACCGTTAGTTTGAAGTTGAACCCAGAAAACCAAAGAGAACGGAGATTTCCAGAAGGGCAAGAGATAAGAAAACAGAAAAGAATTACAGTGGGCTGTAGGTGTCGATATCCGATATATAAGCCTCTCATTTTTTATTATATCGTAAGTAAAGTAATCTTAAAACAAAGTGGTTAATATATATACTAATTATATATTAGTCAGATACATACAAATGAATTGGTATATGAAAAAGTGCCAGCGGAGACAGTGCAAAATTCTTAAAGAACGAAAGGGATTATATCATTATTTGACTAGGTTCCCCTTTTCTCACAGCATTTTCATGTGCATGTATGTTGATATTTTTCCATTTAATGTAAAAGGTACAAATATTCAAGGTTTGAGTAACACTGAAGGATCACTGTAACACAATACGGTTGATTCGATCTGATTTGATGTGTTATATTAGTACCATCAGAGTGATTAAGAGTAAAAATCTAAGAAAATTTAAAATTATGTTAAAACAATTAAAGTCATAAAACAATTTATAATTAAAATACAAGTTCAGAAGACTTTTCATCTATTACAAACAGAATTAAAATCATACAAATTTTAGACTCAGTATAAAGATCAAATATGACCTACATGCCCCCTAATTACACTTGTATTGTACTCTTCAACCCAAGCCAAAATAACTCCTATTACAGATGTCGATAGTTGTACTGGATCAATTCTTTTAACATAAAATATCAAGTAAAAGAGTGAGCTTTGGGAAGCTCAGTAATATAGAATTACCAAGTAATACTGAAGGACATGAAGATAAATGGGAAAACATAAATTTTCCTTTTTGATTCAGACATCTACAAGTTTCCGTGAGGAACTGAGATTTCACTGATATTTCCTCAAGTAAAAGACATGAAGCTTACAGTTCAGAGGAAAAGTTCATATGACCAGGTTCAGGAGATCATAATAGAATGTCTAGTGTGTTCTCATGTAACCAGAATAAATAAAATCATAGATTATAAATAGTAATATTTTATTTCAGTAAAACGTTTTTTTTTAAAATCACTGTAATATCCTCCATCCGAATACTCCATATGCAGTCCCCCATAACTACATCTATAAGGGTTTACCCTAAGCACAAAGCAAGTGAGCCACCATAAGGGAGTACCTTAGGGCCTACTCAATGGTCACATTAGGTCCGTAAGAAATTACCAACTTAATCAGAGTTGAACCTCCGTACTCCATACTCCTACCCATACAATATACAGTATAAATCAGATTTAGCAGTACCTTATAATATCAAAATCATGATCCTGTAGAATATTGTAAAAATGACTACGTAGTTAATTTAAAGAGAAAATAACCTCAGTGACCGAAAATGTCTTATAATATACGATTTTAACCAACTTTTTTTCGATTTGCCAAAATGACCAACAAAATCGCAACGCGAACTCCAACTTCGCAATTCAGTTTCCAAATTCGCGTTGCGATTTTCCATTTCGCGTTGCGATAGTCCAAATTCGCATTGCGATATCGCAACGCGATCTTAAATTCGCAACTCAGTTTCCAAATTCGCGTTGCAATAGTCCAAAATCGCATTGCAATTTTCCATTGCATTTGTTTCTTAAGAATTTTCTCTAAAAAGATGGTATCCACGCGGACGTGTCGAAGACATGTATTACCACGACCCGAGACGAGACGAGACGAGACGGCGGCGGCGGCGGCGACACGCGAGAGTCCCCCTTGTTCTCTTTCACTCAACAAGAAAATGAGAAATCCAAGCTTTAAATACCCATTCCCAATAGTGTTTCCAATACTATGTGGGATTGAGCATTGTAAGTTGCATGCATTGACTATAGATTTTGGAGACTTTGTAGATTATAATGGAAATTTATGCCTCTTTTTGCTATAGATTGTGCAATCTGCTCCAATGTTACTACTATAAATTTATCATAAATCAATGTCAATGATCTTCCATCTACAGCTTTCCACTTTCCACTACAGTGCATGATTAAGTTTTTGAAATTTCAACTTAAAATGGTGCTTCTATTCAAAATCTAGTAATCATCAATTCCAGTAATTTTCCTCCATTTCTCTTGGTTCCATCTTTCCTATGGCCCCTGAATCTCGTTAACGTTACATTATCATCATATTCACTCATGCTTAAACGCAAACTATGGAACTCTTCAAGATATCAGAAGACATGAGAGTATTCTAGATCGTGTTCACAAAAAGGGCCTAGAATACATATTAGAGAAACAATCTACTTCACCCAAAAACCTATTTTTATTTTCAAGTGTCTGCAGGCGTGAGCATATCCATGGAACATGAAGATTGAGGAATATTTCAATATGCAATAAAAAGCGCTGTGATTTATTAACCAATAATCATCAACCTTCCATTGCCGATGTTCATTCATTCAAGATAAAAGTCTTGCTCTTGTATTTATAGTCAATGCATGCAACTTACAATGCTCAATCCCACATTGTATTGGAAACACTATTGGGAATGGGTATTTAAGGCTTGAATTTCCCACTTCCTTGTTGAGTGAAAGAGAACAAGGGGGACTCTTGCGCGCCGCCACCGCTGTCGTCTCGTCTCATCTCGGGTTATGGTCATGGTCGTGGTCGTGGTAATACGTGTCTTCGACACGTCCACGCGGATACTATCTTTTTAGAGAAAATTCTTAAGAAATAAATGCAATACCACCAGTCGCGTTGCGAAATGGAAAAATCGCAATGCGAATTTGGACTATCGCAACGCGCAATGGAAAATCGCAATGCAATTTTGGACTATCGCAATGCGATTTTGGACTATCGCAATGCGATTTTGGACTATCGCAACGCGAATTTGGAAATTGAGTTGCGAATTTAATATCGCGTTACGATATCGCAATGCGAATTTGGACTACCGCAACGCGAATTTGGAAACTGAGTTGCGAAGTTAGAGTTCGCGTTGCGATTTTGTTGGTCATTTTGGCAAATCGAAAAAAAGTTGGTCAAAATCGTATATTATAAGAAATTTTCGGTCACTGAGGTTATTTTCTCTAATTTAAATCACATGAATACTTCTACCCATACACCATATGCAATTCCCCAAAAATGGATTCATAAGGACTTACCGTAGGCCCAATGGACTTAGAAGCCAACCTAAGGGAATGCTTTGGGTCCGTAATGAATTACCAGCTTGATAAGAGCTGAATCTCTATACTCTATTATCCTACTCAAAACATTATCTCAATAAAATAATTCACACAGTAAGAAGTGAGTTCAATGGTCCATAAATCAACATAATCATATATTCCAATGAAAACAAGTAATCATATAACATATATCAGACATCCATGGTGCATAAACAGTTAACTTGTATATCAGTAAATCAGTAATTCCGGTAAATCACATTTCAAAACAAATAAAACAATCATATAGAACGCAGGGAACAAACCAGAAGATTCAGTTATTTTTCAGAGGAATTTGATAGTTATCAAGAAGGGAAAATGTAGAATTTCTATAGATTGATCGGATTTCAAGTACGTTGTCCCTATATAAAAAGGGTTCGATTAACAGATCTAATCAAACATTTAGGAATTGATACTTCAGCACCATTTAGGATTCAAGTGCATCAGGACGATATTCAGGAACCTTACGTCAGAATAATTTAAAATTCATATATAACTAGAGTAATTCCATTATTTAGGCAATCAGGGGCATTTTAGAATTTTGATTCTTTGAGAATTCTTAGTAATTTATCCTAGTAATAGTTGGGGCGATAATTTGCAATATTTAAGATTATATCGAATCATCAGACTTGAGGCAAGTTACACTAATCAGATTCCAACACTGCAATACTTGCAATCATTTAGGTCAAGATACTTCCTAGATATTCCCTCTCCAGTACTAATTACACTAGTTTAACGAACCCCATTTATAATCAACATCGAATAGATCTTCCCAAGATGAACAAATATTTCGGTGGTGTTTTAATTTATTTATGAATTACATCGTGATTCACCTTAAATGGCGATATAACACTTAGGTTTATCGGTATTTCTAAAATTTACCAAGGGTATCCACTTATTTTAAGTCGTTAGGTTAATAGGTCGCTTCAACAATCGAGGTTACTCCGGTCATCATAGAGTTCAATGGATTCTGGTTCTTTTAGGATTCAGGGTATTTTGGTCATTTGAACATTGAAGGTTATTTTAGTTGTTTCGCAGGTCGAGGAAAGTTTGATAAATTCTGATAAATCCAAACATATGTACTTTTTCTAGTAATTTAGCCAGGTATGTCATTTCAGGGTTATTTTTCACTTTTAGGGGCAATCTTGGTTTTTTGTAGTACAAAGGGCATTTTTATAATTTCACAATATAGGGCTATTTTTGTCATTTTGATTTTGAACGAATACTTAATAATTTAATAATATTTTTTCATACTCAAGATTTATCTCGAATTATCATGATTTTGGGTCAAATAAGGTTTGAACAGATCTCAACACCGCGATACTCACTAATCATTCGGACTGATATCCTTCAAAATATTCACTTCTCAATACTATTTACTCTAGTTGAATTAGTCACCATCATACCACCATTAGACGAAATCTTGAGGAGACGAACATGTATCCTAATGATATTATTTATTTTTGTATTACAATCGTATCCAGAGAGAGACCGACAAGCTTGGGCCGTGTTTCAAGACTTTTAGAGGCATTTCAATGCTTAAGTTTAAGGTATTTTTAGGGTTTGTCCAAATATATACATAATTCCAAGTCGTTTCCATTATCAGAGATAAATCATGTCATATTTGTATCTGAATGACATTTTTGACATTTTATCGGGATCAATATAGGTTTAGAATAATTAATATTTATTCCTAGCCCAATCTTATTTATTTATGCATTAATAATACCTAACTTGTACCATACAACATGTAATGTGTAGTAAAATATTACTTCAATTTACAAGCCAAATCGATCAACCATTTAAACTTAATTTGATCGCCCTCAAACTTTAAGTCCATGACCCATAAAGTCTCAGATACATGACAAACAAATTTACGTCAAAAACAGAACTTAATCTAAAAAACCAAATTGAATCCGAA